TAGGTTATGATACACATTGTAGCATGACTGATATCAAAGAAAAGAAAAAATGTAAATGTCCAACATTCTAAGACTGGCTTAATAAATTATGGCACACACAATCAACATGAAGCAGAAAAAAAGAATGGCAACGCTCTTTATATAAAAGTGCGTTGGAGTAGCTAGAGGGGGAAGAGAAAAGAATGTTTAAAAAAAGGTGCATAAGTGTAGATGATTTGTTGCCATTTAAGAGAAAAGAAAAACAAAGAAATGGACTTAGAGGAAATTGTTCATAATGTTGAAGGAAAAAAATGAGAAGCTGATTTCAAGGGCTCAAGTAGGGAGAAAATGTTTGAAAATGATGATGGCAACAAATGTACAAATGTGCTTGACACAATGGATATATGTATGGATTGTGATAAGAGCTGTATGAGCCCTCAGTAAAATTACAGAAAACAATAATACAATTTAAAAATCTAAATAAAAATCTGTTGAAGCACACTTTAAAAGCTAGTAACTTGTTTTGACTCAGAGGAGGGGAACTGGTGTCTAGTGGCCAAAGTAAAATGCATCTTTTCATTGTATATATGTTTATTCTTTTTGAAATTTGAACCATGTGAATGAATGCACTATTCAGTTTGGATTGGGTCAATTGTATTGGCCTACAAGACTAACAATATAGTTAGGGATGCTAGGAAACAATTACATTTAAAATTAAATGCTTCCAAATGTTATAAGAAGAGAAAAATATTTGGGGGTAGTCGGGGATAAGTCTGCCTGGAGAGCTGCTAATTAGGAAGTTTATAAGAAGCATCTCAAGGCTAGAGGGTTATTTACCTGATCAACAAAGTTCCTTGCCTTTGAGAGTACCAATGTGATATATGTGGTGACCAAAAAGTTCATGGAAAATAGAATGAAAAGATAAAAACATTTCCATGTCGTAGGAGCAGGAGCTCTGGTGGTGTAGTGGTTATTCGTTGGGCTGTGATCTGAAAGGGCAGCAGTTTGAAACTGTTAGCCGCTCTGTGGGAGAAAGACGGTGCTTTCGACCCTCATCAAGCATTATACTCTTGGAAACCCACAGGGGCAGTTCTTCCATGTCCTTCAGGGACGCTCTGACCTTTTTGGACTAGGGTACTGACCTTTTTAGGACTAGGGAATCAAGCACGAATCAATGGTAGTAAACAAGATCAAGCAGGAATCAATCCATATTTGTCACTGGTCTTATAATTTTGGCTAATTTATTTTGTTTTTTCTTAAGTTTCAACTCCTTATTTGTACAATGGGTAAAATCTTAGTCACTGCCATGAAGTTGATTCTGATTCACAATGACTCTAGAGGACAGAGTAGGGCTGTCCTTGTGGGTTTCAGAGATTGTAAATCTTTATGGGAACAGAAGCAACATTTAATACACTACACCAACAGAGTGCCTAAAATCTTAATATAGTTTTAAAGATGAAATGACAAAACATCCAAGCACTCCATATTTGTTGGCTTACATTACCTTCTGTTTTATATCTAAAACCAAACCAAAACAAAAAAAAACCCCAAACAAATCAAAGTCACTGCTATCTAGTCAACTCCAACTCATACTGACCCTATATGACACCACTCTTTAATACAGTTCCTCATGTTGTTGTGACCCCCCCACCAACCAAAAATTATCTTCATTGCTACTTTATCACTGTAATTTTGCTACTGTTATGAATCTGGCGACTGCTGTGAAAGGGTTGTTCTACCCCCAAAGGGGTCGCGACCCACAGGTTGAGAACTGCTGTATACAGGTTTCTGAACAGGGGCAGCTCTGCAGGAGTCCCTGCTACCACCACCAATATGATTAGCAGTTCAATGCTGTCCCACTGCACCAATAAGACTTGGGTTCAAATGAGATGGACTGGCAAGTGTAGGTTGCATTGTAAAGGTACTCACTCACTCCAATGGACTCATGCAAACTCTTAATGACCCTATAGGACAGGGTAGAACTGCCCCTGTGAGATTCCAAGATTGTAACTATTTGGGGGAATAGAAAGCCCTGGAGCCGCTGGTGGCTTTGAATTGCTAACCTTCAGGATTGCAACGAATTGTGTAACCACTCTGTCACCAGAGCTACTCCATGTAGCTGAAATTTGCCATTCCCTATTTCTTATGAACGATAATGCCTCATTACCTCAGAAGTTTTAAAAATCCTTGGTCTCATAAAGCTTCTCTCCTTTTCAGTCTCTGATTTCCTCTCCTAAAAGAGGGTCAGAAGGAGAGTGCCTTAAAACATGACAAATATACTCTAATAATATTCCCACTGGTTTCCTGTGCCAAGGGACCTTTTCTTCTAATGCTCATTTTTAGCAAATACATTTTTAAAGGGGACTTTGCTCTCCACTACTTATTCTGCATGGGGAAATCAGCATACTATTTTTCTTTCAGCAGTAAATATAATTTTTTTTAATTAAAAGATCATTATATTGGGGCTCTTATAGCCCTCATAACAATCCATATATAATTTTATCAAGTATATTTGTACATATTACCATCATTATTTTCTAAACATTTATTTTCTATTTGATCCCTTCGTATCAGCTCCTCTTTTTTTCCTCCCTCCCCCCGCTTGTGGCCCCTGATAAATTATAAATTATTATTTTCATATCTTACACCAACTACTGTCCCGCTCCCCCCTTCTGAGGGGACATAATTTTAAGATAAGTTATTTACATGCTGACTTTATAATAAAAGGTCACCCAGTAAAGCACATTAACATTTATCAATAGTGTATATTGTTCAGATTGAGTGGGATTTTATATATGCATCAAATATATAAGGGTTTCAGACGCGCATGAAACTGGAATTTGGTATACATGGAATATATTATATCATATGACACAGTATAACAGTCAGTGAAATCAAGAGATGGGGTCTCTCTAAAGTTCTATCTTGAATGTCAAACTACTAACAAGTGTTCCAGATAAAGAACTACCTGAGCAACAACATTGCTCAATTGTTTTTTCTGGCTATTCAGCATTGGTTGCTAGGTAATGAGTAGAAAATGCATTTTTCCTTCTCAAATATGCCGGGGGTGGGGTGGTGGTGAGGCAGAGTGTGTATATCAGATTTCCTTTTAATGTTCTTGAGATTTGTTATATTTGTTTATTTAATAAGTTTATTTGGAGAATTGCATCAGAAATTATTTTTGTACAGTGGTAGGAATGACAAATAGTGCCTTTGTAATGTTGCACTTGTCAATACCTGTTTTTGCTTAAGGATGAATCCATACCAATTCTGGATAATCCAGCTTTGAAGTGGGCTGGGCAGAGCTGGTTTTCTTTGTTGGTGCTATTAGTTTGGGTTGTGACCTAGTCACATATACATTGAAAAATTAAACAACACTGAGGAAATGAGCTAATTAAATGCCACATATTCTAATTAAAGTCAAGGAGAATGGCATTTACATCTAAGCAGATTTCTGTAATGGGTACAAGACTTTAACATTTTTTCTTACAGTTTATAGAACTCATTTATGATCCAGAAAGAACATTTACGAATATGCTCTAGGTTTACAGAAAAGACCATCCTAAAAAAAAAAAAAAGATAACACCATCATTCTGGCATGTGAAATGCAAAATGATCAAATATAAAGCCAAAGAAATCTCCATATGCCTCAAAACACCCTTGAATCAATGTCATGGCCGAATCTATTTTTAAATGCCCTGTTACAAATACTACATTCTTTCTATAAAAGGACTGCATAATCCAATATACAAAGCCCTATGTTACAGTTTTGTGACAGAAGAGGCTAAATCTTTGATTTTTGGCCAAATTTATGTTATCATTACGGTTATTTTGTGGGTCAAAAAAACCTTTGCCATAAGAACTTGACCGAACTCCTGTTTTGTCCTCTTTGATCACAGGATTAATTGGAGCATGGACAATTAAAAAAAACCTCTTTACTGACAAAAGAGAGGAGGTATATTCCTCCTTTATTGACAAGGGGCGGGAGAGGGAGCCCTGATAGGTGGTGGGTTGCAGATTGGGTTGCTAAAGGCAAGGTTCAAAACAGCCTCTCCAGAAAGAAAGATTAGGCTGTGTGCTCTCATAAAGATGAGAAACCCAAAGGGGAAGTTCTACCCTATCCTATAGACTCCCTGTGAGTTTATGGCATCAAGGTCAGCAGTTCAAAACTACCAGCCGCTCCTTGAAAGAAAGATGAGGCTCTGTACTCTCATAAAGACTGAGAAACCCAAAGTTTCTATCCTACAGACTCGCTATAAGTCTATGGCAGTGTAGTGAGGTAGTGAGGGAGGGAGGGAGGGAGGGA